TCTCTGGTCTTGCTCTGCCTGTGTTGTCTGTGAGTTGTGCATACTGAGTTAACCCTTCGTTATCTCTGCTCTGCTGTGTAGCTGGCACTGGATCCATAATCAGATTAAACATCGGAGCCTGACCTCCGTTTGGTTCTGTGGGCCACGGCAGAGGCACGTGTGTTGGCTTCCTTCATCTGGATTCGAGATGGGGAGGTGTCATCTGTGTTCAGCGTTTCCAGACTCTTCCTGCTTTTGTTCTGCTTGTTATCTTGGGTTAACCCATCCTGCTTTCATAGAATGTGCTCAAGCATTTTAATTAGTATTTTGCTTTAGTTTGCTGTCGTGTGTTTTGACCTATATTGTGTTCCTCACACTTCTCATGTAAATAACAAATCATTAGTTTAGCAGAGATCAGTAAGCTGGGTAAACCTGCTCCGAGGTCATATCTGATCCTGGTTTCACTGCAGTTATCCTTGTGCTTTCAGCTTTAGCATCGCCCCTTTTCATCTGTAGTTAACAGATGGGGCGGAATGTATAAAAGCTCTGGCATCACAGAGATAGTTTCTCTGCATAATAATGTTCACTTCTTGGAATTGAAATTAAAAAGAAATAGTTGCTTGTGATCATGTCATTGTATACTATTTTCTGCACATTACCTTTTTATTTTCCTCAGAAGAATGTCCGAGCTGTGCTTATCTATACAGTGAAAAATATAGTGACCATGACCAGATTGAGAATCATAACACCTCAGATTGAGAATCTCATTAATGCTGACTCGTAGTCATGGATTAAACCTGGCATTTCATTTTCACTTGCAATGTATAGAAAGACAAATTATCTTGTTTGTTTGAAGAAAGAAGGGTTTGAAATGATGTGAGTAAATTTACCTTGACTTTATCATAGAGTCCATGTTTTGTGTCTGTTTATTACAGGTATACTACATTTAATTGGTTTGTTAAAGTTGATGATGGATAGAGTTCTGTTGGCCAGATGTCCAGATGGAGATAAAGTCAGTTTTAGATGATAACAGTTAAATTCTAGTTTCTCTGTTGAAATAGTGTGACATTTTTGTTTATTTTGGCAAAGAAGCGTCAGTGCACACATTACTACTGAGAGAGATGGAGATCTGGCGTGTTTGACGGGAACTTATGGAGACGGGACGGGACATAATGACCTGCCCTGATCCACTTTCTGCTACTAATAGACCCATACACTTAAAATATTGGCATGACATGATGAGGTTTGAAGTAGTAGTCTAGACCTGCATGCAGGAAGATTTGATTTGTTTTTTAATCGTGTGCTCGAGGGCTTCCTCTCCATTCATGTTGGTAATCCATCTGAGCTGCTCAGTGTCTGTTGGGTGAAGCTTCTTCCACCCTGCTGAAGGAGCAGAACTGGACCATCTGTCTGTGTAATGTACTCCTGTCCAGCAGCCTTCCCATACTTATTTACAGCCCGATTCTTCCAATCATCCTGCTGCATCGCTCATTTTGTCAAAAATTGAGTATTTAAGAAAAATAAAACAACACTTTTATTTTACAGTTGAAGAGTGAAATTACTAGTCACATTTATGGCTGATTTGATTTCTTTATTTTTTAAATATTAAACCATAAAGTTTTAATTTTGTTGGAAAATTGCATAGAAAGCATCTCTTTTGTTGAAAACAGCTGGTTTATAAAAGCTTCTCATTACAAGAATTGGAAGCTATTTGGCTAAATATATGTTAAAGTGACCCAAACTCGGAGTACATGCAATGATTTTATGTAGAAAAGCATTTACTGCAAACAGAGCTGCTCTGAAACACTGAAAACACTGTCTCATGAGCTGCTCGCGTGTAAACAAACACTCTGAAACATGCAAAGTGTAGTTTTATTTAATTAAATCGCAGCCTTTGCAATTTGATATTTGCACTAAGCCATATAACGATTTTGGTTTTATTTTGATTAATTTTGCAACCCTGATTATAGGGTACTATTTGTGGCAGCGGTATGTGGAGCCTCTCACTAATACCAGAACCTCAGGCTTTACAGGTCGCTGCCTGAATAACCAGCATAAGAAGTAACTGTGCCCTACACACACACATACTCATTCTGGCCCTCTGCCCCATGTCAATTTTTAATGAGAGTGAATTTTTCATCTTGCCAGCAGCAGAGACTCGACTGAGAGGGTGGGTTCAGCAGAAACACAATATGAAGTTAATGTTTCATTCTGAGACAGAGAGAGGGCGAATGAGGAAAGCCGTCCTTCATGATCCCTGCAGTGAAGGGGGTTATGGGAGGGAGGGGTCAGCAGGATGGGGAGGGGGAAGAAGAGAAGTCGGTCACATGTGTCATTACAGGAATCAGGGCTGGACTTTACATGCACACACACACGGCAGTGTCTCAAAATGTAGTAAGCAAAGTACTTACCATTTTGCGCATGTTCAGATGTTCATATTAGTAATTTTGGAGGTGGAAAGAACACATTTTTATTTAAAATTACATGAATTATGCATAGTAAGACAATGGACTTTAATAAGTTGAAAGGATAATTTAGTATGTTTTTGTTTTTACATGACTTTTTTTGTTTTCTACCATTCAAATCATTTAGAAATATATTTTAATCACACATGTAAGCGTAATTATTTTCAGCTTTTTAAACTGTAGGCTACATCATAATGCCTTAATTCCCTTTTAGGTCTGTAGTTGTTTATTTTTAATATTTTCATTCGCACCAATGATGATAATTAACCTATAAAGTTTTAATAACCATTCCATGAGAATGATTCCATTAGGAAATCCACAACACAACTATAATGATAACAGCATAGACATTCCAATACCATTATATCAACTCTAAAATATTTTTTCCCAGCTGATAAAAGCATGGACAGCCAATCAGAATCCACATTACTTTAAAGAGCTCGAACATGTAAAGCAGCAGACGACAAAACCGCCATGCGTGCTTCTAATAACCAGAACATTATCATCCTTTAGTGTGGATGATAATAATTATGATGCTTGCAGAACACTAGCTAAAATGCTACTTTTGGATGAAGGCAAACTCCATTCACTTTGTTTTGGTATTCAATTGTTTTATTGTCTTTATTGTAATTTGTCACTGGGTTACTGTTGGGACAACAATTCTATAAAAACACCACTGTGAGATTTTTGTTGATAGGAAAAATGGGATAGGTTGTTGCTTCAAGTGATGCTTTAAAATTTTCCTTTTTCTTCAGCTTAGCCTGTATATAACAGGGGGGTCCAGATTTGAAATGTGCCCTGACAGGTCTGTTCTTCACTCGTTCCCCTCCAAACACTCATTAGAGCCTCATAACCCCAGTCATGGTGAGAGAACCACAACAGGCAGTCAGTGAATCATTTCTGGTATGAATCCACATGATGAAACCCGCTCCTGTTACTGCACGTTGCTCAGCACTGGGGTTGTGCAATGTGCTCTTGGCTGACTCACTCCCGCTGATGATTCCCACAGCTCTCAGCACTAGATCTGTGCATTTCAGATCATTAGCTGGGTGCTTTCTGCATGCACTTTAAAAAAAGTGTTGTGCGCAGGATCGTATTAGTCAACAGATGGACTTTGTCCAGTGGAGGAACAGTTTTTCCAGTTGGAAAACAGGCTGAAAAATAGTGCCAGACCTTTAGTGCGGTTTATTTTTTGGAAACCAGTTCTCCAGCCTATCACGCTACGCCCGCCTTGCGCACACACGCGGTGAAAGAGGAGACTTTGACAGGCCAGAAACATGCTGTCTTAACGACATGCTGCATATGTTGAAAACATCCAGCAGCTCAAACACATGTTCTCCCTCTTGTCTCTTGTCACAAACACACAAACATCCTGCACACCAGCTCCGCTTTGAATCACATGGCTCTGGGTTGTTTCACAGCTAAGCACCACAGCAGGACAGAGGCAGTTTTAGCACCATGACTGTGAGGAAAGCAGGACACTCAGTGACCATGTCTGTGCATAAAATCAAACCCAAATGAGGTCATTTAAGACCATGAGCTTTTATGGCTGCGACATTTCTGTTACAGTAAGTTGTTGTTTATTAGACGCTCTTGTTAATGGGGACATATCATGCCCTTAAATGCATTTTGTTGTATATTTGGAGTGTTTATAAGTACAGAAAAGTTGAAATTATTCTCTTCAGGTGCTTCGTTTATATCTTTATATTCTGTTTTGGTCATATTTTGCAACCTAAAGATTTTTCAGTTCTCTATGACGTATTTTGAACAATTGCGTCACAGTATTTGCAGCGGACCTGCCAAATAAGGACATTGACTAACCGCCCAACACTTTGCGCAATCCGCCATTATTATTTCTCGCTCCGATTTTGTAGTCCAAGCTCAAGAATGCAGAAGTTATGAGAGGGCATGTCATAATGTTCACTTGTTTAATGTAGTGACCCACACGCAAAGTGCGGGAAGCACTTCAAGGATTCCAACTTTAACAACCTCCGCCAGTATAAAGAAGGGTTTGCCGATCAAATTCTTCTGACTGAGGGGTCAATTCCTTCTATCATTGGAGACGACGAACAGAGCATTTCGATAAGCTGTTAATATTATTAATAAAAATAAAGTACTTTACTTTCTTAAAACACATGGTGGTCATGGTTTAGCAGTACCTTTGTCTTTCTTTGTTTTTATTTTGAAGTAACATTACACGTCTTGAGTTTCATCAATGGTTATTTAGCTGCTGTGTTTTCTGATGCTTTTCTAAACGTATCATATTATCAATAGAGATTTTTAGTGGTAAGTTTCGACTATATCGACTTTCACTTATAACACAATACAGTATACCATTGCAATACATCCATATGAAGACGTTGTTCAGCAGGTTCGTCGTCGTCTTTTTCCACTCGCTCGCTCTGGCTCGAACATGTAACTCTTTTATATATTTGCTTTTATATATTGTAGAACAGGAGAACTCCTCTATCATGATGCTAATGTGGGTCGTACAGGACGAGGGCTCAGAGTGCTAATGTGACCAAGCTTTGACCCCTCTTCTTGCTCTTTCCGCAGGTGTACGTGGAGTTTGACGACCTTGAGTGGGAGAAGCGTGAGTGGGTCAAGGTGTACGAAGACTTCCAGATCTTTCTGCTGGAGCATCAGCTGGTTTGGGCCAAAAGGAAGGAGGGTGCCCAGCTGCAGGGAACAAAAGCCAAGCAAATCCAGTGGCCAGCTCTGGTGAGTCATCCCTCCCAAGATCTTTGATCCGGAGATGTGCTGTGCGTTGAGCCGCAGCTGTGGAGTATTTCAAGTCGGAACAATAGCTCTGCGGAGGCAATATGACGGGATCCTTTATGCTGCTGGAATGATTTGGGGTTTGGATAACTCTCAGATCAATGGCTCATGTCTGACAATAAGATCATTATTTGTTTAGAAGGCCTGCTGAAAAGATGGAAAATAACAGAGGGTTTGACGTCCTTTAAAAGAGACAGAAAGGCAGCGAGCAAGAGATCGTAAATGTTTCACGGCTCACGCTGTTTTGATTATGTAACGTTAGCAGTAGCACAGCGCCATCTGGGCCATGAGCACACGATAAAAGATTTCAAAGAGAAATCTTAGTATGGCACACGGGACAGTAGTCATAGCGCCCACACATGCACAGGCCGACGACCCAGCATGTGTCATAGTGCACTTACACTTGTCAAGAACTCGTGAGCACTCCGTAAGTTTTCAGCCAGGAAATGTTTCATATTCATGAAGTTTACGCTACACTCATTTTTTCTTTTGTGTTTTAACCTCATGCATGTCTGCTCACTTCCTGCCATTGTTTAAAGTAAATTCTGTAAAGTAAAATCTGAAGTTAAAGGTACGGCAGGCTATTTCGGATGAGCTAGCGATACAAAGTTCCTCAAGAGATCCCACCCTCTCTTCAGAGTGCTCTCCAAAGCTAAGCCTGTACCGAGAACCGGTATTTTTTGGACCGGTATGTAACTGGGTCAATACCGGACTACCAATAAGCTTCGACGAACGATACTGTTATCGATACTTGTGTTGGTTTATCTCTGTATACTTCTGTGTTAGTAGCGAATTAGAAACTTGTCATTTTCCATCTCTGAATGGCCGACGTTTGATCAACATACGTGTGATATCCATGCGCATACTTACGACTCGCTCGCTGTTTTCTGTGCTGCAAACCCATCTTAAGCGCGCTCACAGAAAAAGTTGTATTTCATGATTGTGTGACACTAAAGACACAGTTGTGTTCACAGTGACTAGATAAACTAGGTCATAGCTCTTACTATATTGTGTATTTTAGCATGAATGGAACAACAATATATTTACAAATCTGCATCCAATCCACAAGCATAATTGTTTGTTGGTTTGGGATGGGTTAGTCGAAATTGTGAACCTACCTTTGTTTTCTGAGTTATTTAACTGGAGAAATATTTGATGTCAGTAGACTGTTGATAATGCTTGATGTTCAGATAAAACATTATCTGTCATTGTGAATTAGCAATGTCCATGCTTTTTAAAACTGGGACATATCTTTCACAGATATAAAGAACAGGAAGAATCTGGGACAGATTCTTCATGTTCTTTGTACTCTACACACTTATATGAATTATGATTGGTTTGTACAGTTGTCAAACAACTTAACCTAATTACTTTACTCAACGCCTGACCAAACAGCAATTTACCAACAAGAATTGTGTTGTTCTCTGGTCTTCTTTGAAAGCTGTTTTTTTTTTCCATCATCTTTCCCTCTTTCAAGTTTCCTGTGTCCCTCGCTCGCACACAATTTCCTTCACAGCTCCATTATTTATGGCTGCCATTGGAGGAGAGTTTACTGCCACCAGATCTCCTTACTCAGCACTGCCTCTCTCTCTCTCTCTCTCTCTCTCTCTCTCATTTTATCCTGTCTCTGTAGTTCTGTTGATATGTGGCCCGGCACAAGCTAGCTGATTTCGCCTGTGTTCAGATTAGCACATTGGATTTTTTGTCTGAATATGACTCGAGCAGGTTTCTTCAGTGTTTCCTGCATGTCTTTGCATCGATTGCATAGTCATTCCCAAACATGCAGTGTGACCTGTGTAGTCCCATTTGTGAATGTTTGGTTCTTTTAAATGAGTCAGCAAAATCTCAAACTCATGATGATGAATTATTGTTTTTAGTCTAACGACTCACTTCAGAGTGGTTACTGAATTAACATTTGACTCACTGTCTGGACCACAAGTCGTTACTTTCAGTCATTTCAGTCTCAATAACTAACCGAGCATTTCTATTGTGTCATCTCTGACTAGTTTAAATGTAATATATGGTATTTCTCAATTTTCAATTCAAAATTCTTTTAATAATTGTGCTCCAAAAATAAGTTTTTCATTAAGCAAAAGTGGCAGTAAATACTTTTACACTGTTATAAAAATGTATATTTCAAATATTAAGCATCACAGCTCTTTTCAACATTTATAATAATTTTCAATTTAAAGTAACAGTAAATTGAATATTGAAGTAACAGTACATCCTTCTTTAAATGTAAATTGTATTCTAAGAGATTCTGTGTACAGGTTTCTGGTCCAATAAGAAACCTTATCTGAATTTAATAGAAGAAAATTACAGGTCATCCAAAATTTTACATCTTTAACATACTCTGTCAACTTGGATAGTTTAGAGATTTCATCTGATTGGGATGAAATATTTAACTGAGTATTATAACAGTGGAAACTAATTCCGTGTTTGCTTATAATATTACCAATAACAAGAGGGCCTAACACAGATCCTTGTGGCACTCCATAACTGACTGACGTTATCTTTAGATTTTTCCCTGTTTAAACAAACAAAATGGTGCGATTCAAACCAGTTTAATGCCTGTCCCTGAATACCAGTGTAATAACTGCCAACTTGAACAGTCTTGAGCATGACCTAGATACAGAGACGAGTTAATAATATTGAGAAGAGGCTTTTCTGCTACAGGTAACTTTTATTTTAGTAGTTAAGTAAGAAATAATAAAAAATGTAATGTTTCTTGAGCAGCAAATCTGCATATCAGTCAGATCAGCATAAGGATCACGTGACATTGAAGACTGGAGCAAGGGTGCTGAAAATTCAGCTTTGGTGCCACACAAATAAATTATATTAAAATTAAAAAGTTTTTTTTTTTTTTTTAAATTGCAATAATTATCTTAATATTACTATCTTTGCTGTATTCTTTGATCAAATAAATGCAGCCTTGATGAACAAACCTTTTTCTTTATTGTAAATGCTTAGTGCTCCCTTTATATGTGTGCGGCTGGCAGTTGTCTGTTTAAGATAAGTTCATTTTGTAACAGATGTGGTGCGGCTTGTTCGCAGCTCTCATTCTTTCTGTCTGATTATCATTGATGACTGTTCTTGTTCGTTCAGATTGGATTGTGTTCTACAAACACCGCTCTTCCTGCACAAACTCCGCAAGGCTGTTATGCATTTACGACATCCTGTAAACCTTCTTTGTCAAGTGCTGTATTTTACGCATTCATGCTGATGTAGCTAACTCTCTGATGGCTTAATTGTGTTTAGCCCTGCTTGACCTGTAGCCTTATGGGCGATCTTTACTGCTGATGAACGCACAGACCCCTGCCCCCGCTGTCTTGTAGTGAAAGCTTTCTGTCTTCATTTTGCTTTCAAGGGATGAAATCATTCCGCAGAAGGAATAGTTCTATGGATTAAAATCTTCAAACCCATTATTTTCATCAGCCCACATGAGTGACTTTAATAAACGGTTTGACTTCATTGTTTTGGCTTCATCATTATGAAAAGTGTGTGTTTGAGGCCTTATGCTGCAGAAGCAAAATGAAAACCCTTTTTTCCCCTTTGTTTTTTGCAGTTAAACAATCAAGCCCAGTAAAGCAAGTTCTCCTGTTAATATTAACTGTAAATGCAGATTAAAGCGCAACGGTTTGGCAGCTCAGACAGTGAAATGGATGTTGTGTAACACGCATGTGGCTATTTTTAGTCATTTTGTGATGGGGATCTTGCCGAACAGCTGTCGAGCTGATAACACTGTGATTGGTTTAGGTTTGCTCATGTGGCACAGCAACAGATCAAACACCCAGATAACGTACAGCATGTGCTCGCTCTTAAGGTCCGTGCACACTGTCAGAAATGTTCGTATGTGTTTTTTCGTATTTGTCATTCGGTGACTCTGAATCATCAAAACACCTCTCAAAAGATTAGCTACGGATGTGAAAAATGCAGGATCCGATCTCTATCCGAATTTTTGACAAACGATTCAGAGACAGTGTGTGAATGTGATTGACAAAAGGTGAAGTCGTATTTGTTTTTTAACGTGCGAAAATTTCGGATTCATTAAAAGTACCGCATTACTCGAGAATTGCCATGTGACCAATTTTTGTATTATTAAAAATAATTTATATTATTATTATTTGTATTTGTTTTATTTATTATTTTTTTATTATTGTACAATTTATTAACATAATGGGCCCTATTTTAACGATCTGAAACGCAAGTATCAAGCGCGAAGCGCAAGTAACTTTGTGGGCGGGTCTTGGGCACTGTTGCTATTTTACCGGCGGGATAAATGATTCTTGCGCCCGACGCAAGTTTAAAAAAGGGTGGTTGGGGCGCAACGTGAAATAAACCAATCAGAGCGTCATCCAACATACCCTTTAAGAGCAGGTGCGCATGTTGCATGGCGGATTGTTATTATAATGGCGGGTTTACCAGGCGCGCGCCAGGAGTGGTTCACAGCCGAGGAGACCGACGTTCTTGTCAGGGCAGTGAAAGACCAGAGAAGTAGCGTTGAATGGGGACGGGAGAAACCCACCCAAATCAGCGTCGGTTAAACATTATATACATATGTGTCTTGCCACTATTGGGCAAACAGGTTTGATTCTTCAATACTACAAAATGTGTAAATGTGTATTTAGGCCTACATTTTTTATTTCATCTTAATGGAAACCACAATGATTTCCCTCATGTGTTAATATTTTTCCTTGTTATAATGTATGTTTTTTGCGAAAATAAAAACTGATGAGAGAATCAGTGTATGCGCGTTGTGCACCTGCTACATTATGGCCAAACATGCACGCTTAATATAGCATTATGAACAACGTGCAACGAGCCACTGACTTTAGACTAGTGTTTTTCTGGTCAGTGGCGCAGACGCGCAGTTGTTTTCTGGAATTGTAAAATAGCACCAGGGATTGTTTGCGCCGAAACACGCCTCCTTTTTGCGCCGACCC